CCCCCCCCCCCCCCGGGCATGGACTCGGTTTCGAAATTTCTAAAACTTGACTCTTAATGATATATTCTTTTCAGGTGCTACTGCTGTATGTGGATACCATTCATATTGGATGGACTCAAGAACGTCGTTCATTCCTGCCCAAAGTGCGGCGCCAAGCTTAGTGAATATAGTCGCTTTAGAGTCGATCGTATATGGAACAAGAAGAAGAAACATAGACAAGCGCAACACAATTACACAAGAGGATAACCTGGCGTGTCCACACTGAAACAGTTTGAGCCGGGACGCACGTTTAGCTTGATTCTATCTAGACTGTCTTCTTTAATGAAGGACAACGTAACGAGGGAAAATTGGGTTGGCACTAGTTCAAACGACTGGAGAGTGTTTTTTGTACAGAGGAAGCGTTTCCGTAGAGACTAAAGAGTTCATGCACCGAATACCTTGACTAACAGATATTCCAAGGGTTACGTTAAAGTTGTCTTACTTTTTTTCACGTCGACAGAGAAATTTCTGAGCTTGAAGACTCTAAGTAATTTCGGAAATATTTTTTTCAGGCATGCCAATAAGTCCTTAACGGACTTTACAGACTGTGATGTGTTTACCACCCGTTTTCCGCAATCTAGAATTATTTTATTTCATATCGCGCTTAAGGCTTGTGAAGGGACGAAAGAAAAACAAACCTGGGCGATTTGTTTATGAATGATTTCTCTTAAGTAGTCAAATGTGCGTGTAATGAAAATCAGCTGAATCTTCAGGGGACACAGAATTGTACTTTCAAAGCTTGTAAACTTATAATAATAAAACCAGTTTTAAAAGAGAAGATTGTTTTTACTGACTGTACCGTGAATAAACAATTAAATTTATCCTCAAGATACACTGAGAATAAGAAACAGTTTTCCACGTACAATTGTATCCAACTTTCATGATGATCAAAGTCAAAAGAAACATTTTCTTTTGCCATAGATCATCACATGTCGCGAGCATGCTAAGTCAGAACTCGAACTTGCTTCATGTAGCTTCCCACAGTCCATACCTGGAAGACCTCGGGAGATATTCAGCGAGTTTAGCCCTCAGCTTAGTTTATAAGAAGTGGACTGTAATGTCCTCTAAAGTATCTTTTTCTTGTGCTTGAATTTGCATCCGCCGGCCGCCTGTTTAGTGGACCCATTGCGAGTTGGGTGGATGACCTGTGGCTGTCATTCCCAGTGCACTCTCTTTGCTTTTACCGGTACATCAGTGTCACTTACATGAAGAAGATTTGCATCTTTTGGAAGCCTTAGGATGGACACGGAAAATGAGAAGAAACCTAGTGTTAATGACGATTTTGTTTGTAAGAAGCATGTAAAATTCTTTAAACGATGCCTTGATGTACTACCCGCAGCATATTCCTCTTTAGATACTAGCAGGTTTGTACATAGAGTAATTGACAGATACGGTATTGTACCCTTCGTAAAGTTTATCTTTGGCGTTTATTTGCTCTGTTCTCCCGGTAGTTTCTTACATGTCTGGTTTACTTTGACAGCAATTTTCTTTTCCTCTCCTTACGCTTCTGTGAAAGATGAGTAGATGTGAGGTGTATGTGTAGTGTTATCATCAACAGATGAGCTGTAATCTTAAAGAGGTTTAAACAGTAACTTTTTTTAAGTAATTAAAAATTGTGTTTACAAACAAACTTCATCATTGAAGTTCATTAGGCTTAAGTTTATTTGAGTAACAATACAGGACGCAACAGCTATGAATTTGGAAGTTTCTGCGGTACTATAGTTACGTAAGTATCACAAGCTTTCAAAGACATGAGTGAAATGATGTTAAAAGAAGGTTGAATGACTATCATCTATGACTGTTGCTGTTGGTGTATTACTGTGTAAAGGCTAGGTATGCATCTGTGACAATTCAATTATTTGCCACAGTGGTAAAGTATGAGAATATTCCCTCTTGGGTGAATGAAATCATGCGTAGAGACTTTCTTTTAATCTTCAGTTATGTCAGTAGCCCGACTTTTAGCTCACATTTCATCATGTTTAATTTTATTAATAAAGGTTAAAGGTTAATATTTTGACTCAATATTTTGTAAGATGAAGTTCTATCAGAATTTCAAACATTTTCATGGCACAGTTTTGGAAGGTCCTCACATTGTTTTCAGAATTCAATATGAGTCATGTCTTTCATTGTCTGATCTAGATCTAATCAGTCTCCATAGCGCTGTTTCAACGCCCGGTCACTTGGTGGAATCCTACCCAACAGCCTGGTGGTGGAGGAGGTGGGGGGGAGGGAAGGGGGTACTCTACAAAATTCCATATGGGGTGGTACTTCCCTGAGGTCCTTGATCCCTTACCCTTTTGTATACAATTTTGACAGAAAAAGTACCCCTTTCATATATCTTCAATTGAAAAACAGCACCGCTCTTGCATACTTTGATAACATGCCCATATTATGAACAAATCACAAAAAAGGAAGCCTTTTTGTGATTTTCATGAAAGTATGTGAAGTCTGCATACAAGCCAAGTGGCCCATCAGGCTGGAGCTTATCCAAGTTCTTGTAGCATGAAGTGTCTAGCCAGGAGTATTTTAATACTCCCCCCTGAATGGGATGCTAGTCCATCACAGGGTTACCCCCAGCATTAGATTTGCCGGTACCTATTTATACACCCGGGTGAAGAGAGGCACTGTGAGAGTGAAGTGTCTTGCCCAAGAAGATAGATAGATAGATAGATAGATAGATAGATAGATCACTTTATTTATATGGTAAATTCTACTCAGTTGTATACAAGCAAAAATATCTACAAATGTATAAATTAAACAATAATTATAATCTTTATAAAGAACACAATGTAATGTCCCCGGCCAGGGCTCAAACCCAGACTGCTCGATCCGGAGATGAGCAGACTAACCATGAGGCCACCGTGCCTCATATTTTCATGTAGTGTCTAATAAATGAAATGATACAGCTGTAATTTGTGTCTGTTCAAAATATTTTAATAAAAGGCCGTTTAAGATAACTAAATGACAGATTTCCCTACCCTTTCATATACCTCAAATTGTGAAATCCCTTCCCTTTTATATACCTGGAGCCTGAAACAGGTAGCCCTTTCGGGTGCAGCCTCACTGTATAGACCATTATAAGGAGTACCCCATCCCCCCAGGCCTAAAAGGGCCTTACATCCTATAGGAAATTACGAAATCACCTGAAGGCTGATGTAATTTCATAATCTATTCAGGTTTAAATGTGTGATTTTTTTGTGTCTTATTACAGGGTGACTGTGGCATTTTTTGCACTCTCTGGTCTTGATATTTTAAATTCACTTCACTTAGTAGAAAAAGACAAAAAAGATATTATTGAATGGTTTTACTCCAACCAAAAGCTTCCAGACAAATCTAGTAAGTAGTTCAATGTAATTTGTTAAACTTAGGTCTGATATATATTACGGGACTGTGGAATTATTTTGAAAATAAGAGCTCCAAATCTGTCACTTATTTCAGATAATGCAAGTATGCTAAGATGTGGGTTCCGTGGATCATCCACAACAGCCCGTAACAGGCAACTTTTACAGGTAGATGACAAATCTATAATTATGCAGTATTTAACAAGTGCCAACTTATTTTGAGTGAAATTTAAATTGCAAGGTTGTAGCTTTACAATGGAGGGGATGTTGGGGTTTGCATCATTGCGGTATTGGCCAATTTTTCATACTGTATTTTTAGGTAATTCTAATCTTATATTGTGATATTACAGTGTTCTTCAAACCTGTGGAATACTCTTTTTAGCATTTGGTTTGAATTGATGATAGCCAAAATAAAAAGTAATCCTTCATGTTTTTCTGACCATTTTCTGGTTTCTGGTCATTTAAAAAAATGCTATTTTTTTATGGCCTGGAATCATCACATTTGGTTCCTTTGTATTCTCTCAGAGTGCTTGCTTTTCCCATTATATGTCAACAAGCGTCTGCAGCATCTCTCTTTCATAGACTGAATTCCTTCTATTTCATTAAGTTTTTTTGCTTGGAGCTGAAGGTTTAATGTAACCGTTAAAGTTGTTTTTCTTTAAAGGATGCATGTGAGTATGACTGCAGCCATATCGCCATGACATACACAGCTTTAGCCAGCCTGCTTATCTTAGGAGATGATTTATCACGAGTCAACAGACCAGCTATTATTGAAGCCTTAAAGACATTACAGCTTCCTGATGGCAGGTCAGAATTTGAAGAAGTTGTCGGAACAATTTGAGTGTGCTATCAGACATACATGCCATATCAAATCCCTGGCAGCTGCTGGTAGTCCTGTAAAGCAATTTGGGTTTTTAGGGTAAAAATCATCTTTGACCTGTTTTTATATCGTCAGCTAGGATTTAGGAGATGGCCTGGGGTGGGCACCCCATGTGAAAATGGCAGGTCCCAGTTGTTCAAAAGCTGGATAACACTATCCACCAGATAAATCACTATCCAGCAGATAGTGTGGTTTGTTTTGTTAACAGTTATCCAGTGGATAGTGATTTATCCAGTGGATAGTGTTATCCAGTGAGAGAATATGAGCTTGCCTTCTGCATCATTTTATATGAAATTGGAATGATTTTTCATGTGTATCACCCAACCAACAACCTATATCTCAGATCAGTTTTATGGTCATGAGCATGTATCTCATTGACAACGCATTGTTACTGTTTTACAGCTTCCAACCCACTACAGATGGCAGTGAGAATGATATGCGGTTTATCTACTGTGCTTGTTGTATTAGCTACATTTTAAATGACTGGAGTGGTGTGGATATTCCTCGTGTTGTTCAGTACATCAAGAAAAGTAGGGTAATAAACTCTTTTTTTAGTTCATTATGCATTCCAAGGATGTTCTGAAGATTTCCTAGCTTGTTTTGATCATTATTCAGTCCCAGTCCCAGGATGTTTTTCACCCAACATAATGCTGTTGTCAGAGTTGTCCCTAGTCTCCCTTGTAGGTACTATTAAGGTTGGGGAGAAGCGTTGTGTGATAACCCTAATAACAACTGCGAAGGAGACTAAGTTTTCCCTTGAAAATTAAAGAATTGGGAAGTGCATTGTCCCATGTACATGGATTTTTTTCTTTTTTTCCCATTGCTTGGCATTGAAATATTTTTCAAAAGTGGGTTGATTAGGGCTGTAAACAGCTCAAATATTTCAGCTGCATGGAAAAGATTTTGGTTGGTAGCTGGCATGAGTGGGCATGAGATCAAAGTTCTTGACCTGCAGGCATGATACATGCCTCTAAGGCATGAGAGTTGCCAGATATATGTTGTGGTTCAATTTTACCTGGTACAATTTGGTATGTTGCATTGTTATGGTGTATTGTAATTTATTACCAGAACAAACAGCAAAACATACCAAATTGTACCAAGGGATTTTGAGTCACAACATGTATATTAGGTACAGCTGTATGTGTCTTGACTTGTCAATATTATTATGGTTCTAAAGCGCCCGCCTTGTGTTCGGGAGGTCATGGGTTCGATTCCTGTCGGGGACTCAGAATATTTCTTTGTCCCACGCTCGTGTCATGTTGATTAATTCACCTTCACATTTCATTACCGAGCTTAAAATTTACCATCTTTATTAACTTATCACTTGTTTTCTTCTTGTTAGTCATATGACTCAGGATTTGGCCAAGGACCAAGCTTGGAAGCTCATGGTTAGTTTTATTTTAATTGGTCACAACCGAACCTGGTTTGTACTCTGCAAGCATTTTTTAATGGGGTAGGGTGGGTGGTGATTCACCCTATGTTTTTACTTGTTCCCGTTACTGATTCAGCTAAGAACCTACTCATCATTTACCCAAGAAAAACGTTGGAAACCTTGCCAAGAATGTTGTTCTACATAACATAACCACAGTACTATCAATGACATCTTATAATTAGTAGGAGGCCTGATTGTCACTGCATGACAGTAATTTATTTTAAATCCAAATAAACTGTGCTTTATGTAGTAACATAACATGAAACAGACTAAGGATAACTGCAACCACAAGATAATTAGCAAAGTTCACTGAATTGGCGATTCATGCAAGACTAAATCGAGACATTTTGTTGTGAGGAAGTTCTTACATAGTTGGCTTTGAATTATACAAAACCAGACGTCTGAGGTGTGTGACTGCTTTCACAAATTAAGATTAAACAGTTATAAACTTTAAGGCCTTGTTTTAGTGTGCAAGGCACCTTCATGCTTCTTGTTTTTGATGATATCTTGCTCTCTTTTCTATTTAAGGTGGATCAACATTCTGTGCATTAGCGTCACTTGTCTTGATGAATCGTCTGGAATCTTGCTTTGAGGCAAATGAACTGGAACAAATAAAAAAGTGGTGTCTGTTTCGTCAGAAGTCTGGTTTTCAAGGGCGTCCTAACAAGCCAGTTGATACCTGTTACTCATTTTGGCTAGGAGCTTCATTAGAAGTAAGGGATGTAAACAGTGTAGACGTGTTTATTGCAAAAACTGAACATCTTGCTGAATTTACTAATTTTATGAGGATTTAGAAAGCCAACCCTTTTTCCTGCATTTGTTTGTATTTTTTCAAGGCTGTTGACGTTGATTTGAATTGACGAATTTGCCTAACATGTTTAAATCCTTGCTGTCACCCAATTCAGATCATGTGATGATTCATTTGGGAGGTTACAATTGTATAATAAGTCAAATGCAACTGATTGCATGGAAGTCTGTAGAAACAGGACAATTGTAACCTCCCAAATGAATCATGACATGATCCGAATTGAGTGGCAACAACATGTTAGCCAAATCCGGCTATCATGTGGAAAAAAAAAGCTGCATATCTAAATTTTGAATTTGTAAAATGATGCTATACAGTTGTATTATTTTGTTAGTGTACACTATAAATCGGTCTTGAGATTGAATAGATGCCTGTTGCAAGCCAGATCTCAAAACAACATTTAGTCCATTTACCAGGTGTGTAAATGGGTGTTGGAGATAATATAGAACAAAATGTCACAAGGTAATCTTTGATAGACTAGCTCCATGTTGGTGGAAATGTTGTGCTAATAACATCAAAGTGAGGATCTGTTTTCTATCCTTCTAACAGATTCTCAACAAGATGCATGTTGTTATACAATGATTGATAATTTGTCTTTATTTAGCTGCTTGGTGCATTCTCATGTGTGGATTTCCCAGCCAATCGGGATTATCTCATGTCAACCCAAGCAACAGTGACAGGTGGCTTTAGCAAGTGGCCTGGTAACCACCCAGGTAAACATATTCCACAGATGAAATTTGTTAGAGAAATTGTCGCATGCTGGTTTCCATTCATCACAAGTGATAGTTAGCTGTATAATTATGATTTCCTGTAGTAAAATGTATGTAACAGCCATTCAAAGACATTAATATGCAAGGTCTCTTTAGCGCTGGCTGTGTTATCAGTGTGAAACTTGCCAATGTTTTCAGCATTTATCTTGAGACAGAGCAATCAGCTTTTCCATTTTTGTATGAAAATGAGCATTTCTTTTTCAGTAGATTTTGGCAAAATGGAAAAGGATTCGACATACTCCAACACAGAAATTTCATTTTGTAGTTTGATCTTGACAGAATGATGTTACCTGATTCAATTTTGGGTACGACAAAGGTGATCATGATAAATGTTGTAACACAGGGGTTGAGGGTACTTAAAAGTTTTTTTTTGTCAAGCAAGTCCACGGATGTTCCATATTTTTGTTTTATTTGTTTTCAGATGCCCTGCACACATATTTTGGACTCTGTGGCTTATCACTGATGGAGGAACCTGGCTTAAATGCAATTCATGCAGCATTAAACATAACTCAGAGAGCTGCCAATCACCTGAAAAAGTTACACAACCAAACAATTAGCTGATGACATATTAACAATTAAAATAACTTAGTATACATGTATAAAATACAAGAAACAGTCAAGTTAAAGTTGTGAAGTCTGTAATGCAGCCAACAGCATAAAATGATAAATTTCTTAACTTTATTTTGACAAGTAGACTGATAATTTTTAATATAAAATGGCATATCCTGATACTGTGAAACTCAGAAAACTGTGAACACTTTGATTTGATTCTGCCAGGTCAATTGTACACTGACCAATCACGATAAAGTTCAGGACACCCAAACAAACCTCAAAACCACAAACTAATTACTACAGGTTGTTTGGATTTTTTTCTCACCCTTAGTTGGCTTTTTCCTTGTTAGTCAGTAAAATTCCATAAATATTTCTGGTGTTCATTGTTTTCTGAGTTTCACAGTAAAGAAATAAAATTCTTAGACAAATGTAGAAACCACTTTCACATGCAGGCATGGAACTGTTCTGGACATAAAACATTGCTTCCTTGGCTGAAGAAGGAACACCAACTTATGTTATTGTATGTGGCATTTTTTTGCATGTTGTGACATAATAAATTTATTTTCATATTTTCAATTTTATCAATGCTTAAAACCATTAATTTTCTACTGATTGTAAACAGAGGCAGATGACAGAAATCCAGTTTGCCTTTGAAGAATTAAATGTTCCAGTCAAATTTCTTGACTTTTGAAGGATGTTAATTTGCAGCGAATACTAATGCTTAAAGATGGAGCAAAATTAATTATATTTATGTTACGTTAATGGAATGTGGATAATGTGGAAATTACTGTTTGCTTTAGGCATTTCCCAGTTGAACAAGTAAACAGGACTTCTTGGGTTCCTGGAGTGGTTGCCCATGATGTAACTTGTTTTCTGATATGTCAGAAAAAAAAGTTGATTTCTGTGTTTATGTGTGAGAGTGCTTTCAAAGAAAAAGATAATGTAAAAATTTTTGTATATTAGGTTTTTCTAATAGAACATGTCTTGGAAATAGTACTACATGTCTGGCAGCTCTTCAGTGTAAGCAGTGCTTCAGACTAGCTGTCTAGCTTAGTCCTTCACAAGTTACCCATGATCAGTATTATTTCCTAAAGAACTACCAGCAGGGCTCAACTTTCTGGAAAAAACCTTGGGGCCAGGTGGCCACTAAGTTTTCAGATTGAGTCGCCAGCAAAAGTATTTCAGTGAAAAGCATGAAAAGTTAGTCGCCAGTGAAAATAATTGGTCACATTGGCAACCCCAGGGGTTGCAATGTTGAGCTCTGACTAGGAGTGTTTAGTTCCTCGAGGAATTGACGGACTAACTCTATCTCCCTATCTTGTGAGCATAACAAGCAAAAAATTCAGAAATAATTTTTTCTTGGAAATAATATTTGCTTCTGCAATGAAAGTGTTCCATATGAACCGAAATGGGGAAATACTTACAGTGTAGGGGAACAATATTTCTCCAAGATTTTTTCCTGGTTTGTTTGTTCCATTAGGAACACAATAAAACAACAATTACAAGGCTAGGGGTTGACTCAGGAATGATGTCAACCAATTCCTCTTCCAGAAGTTGTGCAAGTAATACATCAAACATGGGAGACAGTGTTTCATTGGGATATCCAAACACTGAGAAGAGAGTTGAAAATACGATGTGCAGCAGAGTATTTTTGATGAAATTCAAGGTGTTTGGATAGGCGATGAAACACTGTCTCAAGTGTTTGATGTCTTCTCAATTGAAACAAAAACTAAGGAGTACATGGAGAAGTGAAATCGTCAAAATCTATGCTAATTAAGACCGAGTATCCAAACTTCCGTCATGGTTGTGATTTTCTTTGTTTTAACTTCAAGTTAATGAATTATTAATGAGTTTGAGAGAGTGAAGCTTGAGCAATCGGAGGCATATGTATAAACAAAAGGAAAGTTGCTTTAAGTCCTATCTCCAAAAAGCAATCAACCCACTTTCACACAGAAATATAATTTACAAGGATATTTTATTCAGCATTTAATTATTGTGGTGATGAATAACTGTAATTATATTACATACCGGTATTACTTTATTTAATATGAATGTCTATGAGTCCTATCATTTTCTATGTAACTATGTAATTGTAGTTGCTTTCAGAAGCTAGCTAGAAACTAGGATACATTTTGGAAGAATTAAAAACAGCTATATCTTGACTTCCACATGTTTGAACTGTATTTCTTAAGTATAGCTTCTTCCTTTTCTAAAAGGGTGACAAGGTAAATATAATTCAGAGGTAACATTTTAGAGGTAAGGTTTTTAGATACTAAAACACCTGGAACTTCTGTTCATAAATATTAACATACAAGATGCTATTGTCATAGCATTGCATAAAATGTGAAGGTCTCGGGTACAGTACAGAAACTTCACATTGATCTTCCTTCTGGCCATAAAATGCTTATGTGTGGTGTTTATCACCTGCCAAAAACTACCCATGCAGAGAATGAGCTAATTGATTATTTGACTGATATCATGGTGATATTTTGGAACTAAATCCTGAAGGCGTGATAGTGGGTGGAGGAGATCTCAATCACCTGGATCTTGAAAATCTTACTGCAGTGTCTGGTTTACCATTTGGCACACAATGTCATAACTTTGTGAATATTTGAGAGATTTCTATGAATTTTTGCCACAAAAATTGCCTTCTAAAGATCTGCTCATTGAAGGCACAAAATTGTGACCCCCTTCTATCTAAGGCATGGTTGACCGCCCCCATTATTTTCCAATTTCTTTTTTGAGATGCACATGGAATGCAAGACTTGTTTCACATCAAACTATGTACTAAGACCTGCTAAATAAGCTATAGTTCAGAGGCATACCTATGACATTTGAGAATTGATACGTGTTGGAAGCTTTTCAGTTTCACATTTTAAAGCAATGTCTCTCAAAATGACTATCTACAATTTCTCCCTGAATTGTACAACATCAGGTTCAGTTAGTAATTACTCATATCAATATCAAATTTTGAGATTATTGCCTTTGAGAACTCCTTTTGAGTGAAAAAGTCAGTTGTGTTTTCTGTAAGTTCTAAAAACTATAGGCAACATTAAGAGGGAAGCTATTAAACTCATGTAATTGACGTTTGAATGGCATAGGAATCCAATTACAGGTATCCAAATATTACAAAAAGTTGAAATTGAATACCTGTAATTGGACACCCATGTCACTGTGCACCTAGGCACGCAGAGAACCAATCAAGATGAAGAATTTTGTTACAGATAAGCTTATTATTAATTAAATAATAACTAGTTTTACCAAGAATTTTTCTTTTACATATCAGAATTCCAAATAGGAAAGGGGTCTCGGGTGAACCTGATAAGTTTGACTACAAGAACCCAGAAATCCTTGACACCTTCCCTTTAAAACTGATCTGGAACTATGAGTGCATTACTTCTGTACACGAGAATGCAACCATATACTGGTGGAAGGTTTTCAATTTTCTGTATCCATCCTGACTGGAATTCCTTCACTTAGTAAGTGCTTTTTAACATCAGTGATAGAAACAGTATTTCGATGGAATATTCCAGCAGCAAGCACAGCATCTGCATGGGCAGTCTGGAACACCTCGGAAAAGTGAGTAACATGACCAGCACCACTAGAGGCAATCACAGGGATACCAACAGCTGCCTTCACCATGGAAACCAATTCAAGGTCATATCCATTATTGGTCCTAATATAGAGAGATTAAATTATTATTAGTCATCTGTATTAATGACAATTCTCAGTTCTTATTAGGATAATGAGTTGCTTGTTAAAACAGTAGTGCCATACATTTCAAACTCGACTCCTAGACAACAACTTTGACATTAGCATTAATGACCTCAGTCTTGAGAATGATGCTTGACGCATCGAAATGTCCATTGACAATACTTTTTATCTTTCAATTCTTATTGGCTGAAAAATCTGCTAGCACAAAGAACAAGTTTAAAGGAAACAAAATTGGGGTACATATTGAACTCGAAGGGCAATAAGTTGTTTACTAAATGATTATTGTGTGTGTTGCAATTTCTCAATTCATGGTTTGAACAGTAAGTTAGGATTATAATTGATTAAGAGTACGTTTACCACAAAGTGACAAACTAAATGCTGTATCAAGCCCTTACCCATCTTTGTCGATACTGTTGAGCATAATCTCTCCAGCACCAAGAGCTTCACATGCCTGCACCATTTCATACACTCCAATATCTCGTGTCTCCCGCCCGCCTTTCACTGTACATTGGTACCAACAGAATTCCTCACCTCCTGGACCAGGGTATTTTGTTTTGATGACATGATGCTGCACAGCATCAGGGGATGTAACATACACTCTCTTTGGGTCCACAGAGATCACTACTGCTTGCTGACCATATGCAGAAGCTATTGTTTCAATGGAAGTTTTGCCTGTCATGACCCCACCAGATGAAATGTGGTTCTCTGCTGCATACACTGCATCACTGCCAATGGATACCTTGTCTGCTCCTGTGGGAATAATTTAATAGTTGGATGTCAACATCCAAATTCTAATTACTGGTCTCCATTCATTTCTCATACAACACTAATAATATGTAAACAGACAGAAGTACCAGGGTAACTTAAGAGAAAATGTATGTTGGCAAGTAAGAGCCTGAAACACTGCCTGTAATAATGGGGCATTCCAAAAGTAGGTTTGACTATACTCCATTCATACTGTCTAGTCTCCTTTGCAGCCGCCAATGTGGAATAACACAAAACGGTTTTAAGAATGGTAAATACTAATCTATGAAGCATGGCTGCTAATGCTGCAGTGCTTTTTGTTAGGAAAATCTAAGGTTGGATTCTTAAGGTTACTGTAGACCTTCAGGGGTGCCTTCCAGAAAATGCTTTCTTTACATGCTGCTTTAAAGAAAACCACAGTAAACTATTTATCATTGTAAAGCTAAGAAACTGTAGATTCCACAAATAGCAATATGTTTTTCTACTTTTGTTTTGATAGGCACACGCAAGCCTTTAAATGCAAAAATGACCATACTTGCTAAACCAAATTACCAGTCTTTGTGTTACCGCGGACATCCAAACTGACTGGACATTATCAATCAGAAGTTGATGGGCTAACAAAGTGTGTCAGGCTTTTTTGATATTTCTATTGGTTGCTTAGGAAATCCCTTTTAAAGTTGGACAATAGAAAATTTTCTGACTGCTGTTACTCAATGGGACGTCACAGGAAAAATATTTCGATTTTTGCAAAAGCCTCACACCGTTTGGTGCGCTAATATCTGACAAAGATTTTGGCCAAGTTTTGTTTAAATCCGATAAATCTACATACCCTGTTAATTCATTTGAATAAAGGTAATTCACGCAAAAATAACCCTTGAGTTTTCAGCCTTGAAAGAAATTCACAGTTTTTGCGCCTCACTGAAGCGGTTGTGAATGTGGCCATGCTACCAACCAGTGAAACGCAGCTTTAAACTCCCCGGTGGGCTACAGTGATGCTTCCCAGGAATGAATGTGCAATGTTTACATCTACAGTACATCTTTATATCTTACATCGGGAGTAACGAAGTCTGCCGTGAAAACATTCAGCAGCTTATAAAACGAATCAGCAGATAAATGGTAAAGAAGGACAAGGGAAAAATGAGGAATGATACCGGAATAGCCTAAAACAGGCCTACCGAGTCGAGTGAGGATATTTACACGTTTTTAAAAAATTCTAAACGCATATTTCATTGGCCTGTTTGTTTTACTAGAATATGGAAAAACACTCTTCGAAGCAGAGGAAAGGAGCATTTAGAGAAGCTGTTTTGTTAGATATCAGCGATTAAATTTGTCGGTAATTCTGCAGCAATCAACTTCGCTAAACCAATTGACAAAACATTCGCTTGCGTATCCTTGCGATTTGTGCTTCCGTTCAAATGTGGGAACGCGAAGACCGTGCAAAATTGCCTAGTCTATCACTTAAGAGATGAAAACAATCCACAAAAGTGCAGATTTCTGTGCGAGAAATTGCACGATGTAAGGGATAAACAAAAGAAGCGAAATAAGACTCCGCGGACGAGATCAGTTGCCGCAATTCAAAGGCTGACACATTTTAATTGGCTTATCACAGTTTGAGGTTCATTGACTTGTTTTAAATTTTTACGAAATTGTGGATAACTCGTTTGCGTTTTAAGTTTTTAAAATAATTTTTTTACAAAATTCAGATAAAGTAGAAGTCTTGAATTTGGTACAAAATAGGCCCTTGAAGGTCTAAAGTAATCTTAAATCCCAAAACAGATTTTGCATTTCTTTACTGAACAGATTAATCCAAGATCACTCAGATCATGGTGTGTCAAGGATTCTTCAGTTCCTTTGATGTGACATGATTCATGTGATCTTAGATAAATCTGTTTCATAAAGAATCGCAAAATTTATGTTTGGATTTAAGAATCCAATCTTGGATTTTCCTGAAGAAACGCACCCTAAGAAATGGTTCATATGCTTTCAAGAACCATTGTGCAATGACCCACTGACCTATAAGCCTGAGTGCTTTAGAACTTTTAATGTAGTCATCATTGTTTTTTTGTCAGGGAATAAAAGTTCCCACGTGGCACAAAATGGCAATAATGTTATTGTTAGCTAGTTAATGGCCAATTGTGTGGTAATGCAATTGGCCATAAGTTGAAAATTAGAGCTGTCAATTTGTTATGTATTTTGTAAATAACTAAGATTTAGTTACATAGTCTCATGATTAAAACAAGTTCAAATTACCAGATTTGAAGTATTCAGCTGCTACTTCAACAGCAGTGTGATGCTTTATTGTGGAGGGGTCACTGTTATTGCCCGGCACCTGCATGTCACGAATTCCACCTCCAACAGTCAAGGGAACAAAAATATTCTCAGACGCTTGACGAAGAACCTCTAACATTGGAAGATCGTTAAGTGGACAGTTTTTGAAGCTTGTGATATTCAAAAACACTATTTCATCTGCTCCTTCCTTGTAGTACCGGCGTGCCAGCTCAACAGGTTTGCCCAGGTTTCTCACAGCACCTTTTGGTTTAGCGGCAGGTTGATTACTCTCCATGATAAACTGTTCTCTCACATCATACTGTTCGCCTTTAGTCACTACCAGGTCACCTTGGTCATTGTTTCGGACATCAAGACAAGCAATTACACGACAACCAAGCTGAGTGAATTCATTGACAACTGGCAGTTCACATGGAATGGTAACAGGCTTGTTACCGATGGGAAAGTTATTCAAGAAGTTCTTAATTATTTTTATTCCCAAACTGCCACTTTTTTCAGGGTGAAACTGAGTGGCAACAATGTTTCCTTTCTGCACAATGCTGACAAACTCCTCTCCGTAGTCAGTAGTGGCAAGAACCCAATCATCCAGCTCTTTGCTTTCTAAATGTAAAGCATAAGAGTGAACAAAGTATACCTTTTCTTCACTGGAGAAACCAGTCGGAAAAAGATCAGATCCCTTGTGAATTTTAAGTCCATTCCATCCCATATGAGGAACAGCAAGACCTTTTGCCTTGTTGAAGTGTGATACAGTTGCAGGTATTAGAGATAAGCCTTCTGTTCCAGGGGACTCTTCACTTCCCTTACATAAGGTCTGAAGACCAAGACAAATTCCTAAGTAAGGCCTGTCTTGTTGAATGTAGGTCTTGAGTGGTTCAACAAAACCACTGCGTTCAAGGAGAGCCATAGCACTTCCAAATGCTCCAACACCTGGGAAAATTAGTCCTTCAGCTCTTAGAATATCTCCAGCTTCTTTTACAAAGGTTACACTATACCCAAGGAGTTTCAAAGCATTGACAAGGCTTCGGATATTCCCTGCTCCATAATCAAGGACTGTTACTTCGGGCATATTTGAAGCTTTCTTGTAATTTGGTGTTCAGTGCAAAGAGAAACCAAGACACTAAAAGGAAAGTAAAATAAGGTGATGACGTGATATTTCAGCTGATGAGATTAGTGGACTGTAATAAGTAGGCATGCTTGTAAATAGGTGGGATGCAAAACATGTATAAGCAAGAACGCATGGAGAAAGTGGAAGTGTGAGGATTGGAGGGGTTGTTGTAGAGATGGGAGGGGAAACAAGACTTTTTTTTGCAACTCCTGTCGAGCTCCATCCATAGGTTCATAACCCAAGTGAGACCTGAATATTTTTAGGAAGAAACTTTCAGTTCTATCAGCTCTCACTAAGTCTAGCTGCACTAGTGGTCTCTAGAGGAGACAAGTGCTATTATGGATAAATCCCCAGGGAGCTACTTTTTAGGAAGAAACTTTCAGTTCTATCAGCTCTCACTAAGTCTAGCCACACTAGTGGTCCCTAGATGGGGCAAGTGCTATTATGGATAAATCCCCAGGGAGGTACTGAAGTGTTTCAAATAATGGGAACTGAAGAGCCAGGAGGGCCCCTCAGGGCATTGTGGTGGGGGGGGGAGGCATCAGATTACGTCCTCATTCACACTTCTCAGTCACCTTTCCCTTTGTATTCCCACCTCCACCCCCTCGAATTCAATTTACCCTCAAACTAATTTGCATATTTTTTCCCTCGTGGTATATGTAGTGTTCTGCAGGAACCTTCAGTTGCAAATCTGTTTTCTCTAAGTTTCTAAATCGTTCGTCCTTCAGTAACCAAGAACTGAATATCGAAAATTCATCTGAGTTGCTTGCGCTGAGTTTCAATCCACGTTCGATCGCACGTGTAAACAGACAATTCGCCGCGATTTGATTGAAAACAAAGAAAAATGTAACAGTTGGCCGAAAACTACACTTAAACGTTGCGTGTTTTGAAAGCACAGCTAAGATACTTTAAAACATATAAACTTAACGCAATACCCGGTAAAAGACAAATAAACAAGGCAACTCACCGTACTCGGTCAAAACTTCGAAACGACGGACACTGATACCAGCGGATACTAACAACAAATTACCCAGGATGCCCTTTGGTCCATTTTCTGTATCACGTGATACGATCTTCTCTCTGTAGCGGTGGGAGCAGCGTGGACAGTCGCCGGAAAGATATACGAACTAATCATGCTTTCTTCACGACTGACGTCCGTCTTAACAAGAACTCTAGCGAGGAGAACACCCCAGGTAAGCTAGTCAAGTTTTCTTACGGTTATATACTGTCCGCATTCATATTGCAATGTACAAATCTAGCTTGTATAATAAGGCGGCCAGGTTGCACCATTGAAGCGGCTGATTAGTTCTAAAGTTTCTTGAAGAAAGCGGAAAGATGTTTTGGAGATATCGTTTAAAAATTGCGTGCGGTTAAAGAAGTTGGAATTGAGAAAGCCACGTTGTTGTTTTCAGTTTGATTTTTTGGTTTATTAATGCATAAGAACGCCAACATATTTCAATATCGAGGGGTGTACCGGTTATCATGAGCGACGTACATGGATGTTATCCCGGCTATATGGCGCATTTTCCTTCGCATAATGAAATCAGTAATGAAGATTTTCAGGTTTCAAGTTTGTTTTTCCATAACATAAACGTTGATGAACATTCCAGTGGTATCCATGAATGGATTTTATCCCTCTGTTTGTGAGTCATACCCAGGCTTCCTCGTTTTGACTTGGTGGCCCAGCCAGTCCACTGACCTTTGGCAGAGATGAGGGGAAAATGGCTCCACAATTCTGTTAGGGGTAGGGGACCCTCCCACCTCTCACCCTGTGTAGGCAATCACAAAGAAACCAGACCTTAACACAAGGGCTTGTAGATGCCTATTAGAAAGTTGAGGTAAATTTATTCCTAATATTTGGTAAAAGTACCACTATAGATGGGAAGAAGATTCTGCAGTTGTAATCATTCACTGATCAAAGTTGACTTTGCCAAGTTTTTGAGTAAATTTGAACGTTGCTGAGGTGTAATTGGGGAATTTGGAATAAAAGTTTAAAGGGTAATGTGTATATCTTCCACCCAGATCTATCAAGGATCTCTTGGTGCTGTTACAGTTGCTGTAAGAAATATAGTATCTTCGAGTCCAAACTTTGCAAGTGCTGGTAAGTTGTGTTGTTTTCATGAGTAACATGTACTCTCAATGCTTTATGCCAGGGAATAACTGTACCTAGCAACAAATAATTTTGTTCAGTTTTTTAACCAGTAATTTTGTGAGAAATCAAATAGAGAACATTCCTAACAATAAGTTCATATTTGCTGAACAGGTTTTTAATTTATGATAAATTTCTTTTTTGAAAGAATGATTATTTGGGGGAATGAAGTATGAAACAAGATTTGTAGTAGTTAAGTAGGTTCTTATGATCATACTTTCTTGAATAGCTGTAACTTTGTAAGTTTACAAGCCATTAGGTTTGGTGGTAATCAATGTTTTTGTTTATAACAAGGATATTTTGTGTTGTTTACATGACAGTATATTTTGCATTATAGGGACTGCTGAGGTTTCCTCTATACTGGAACAAAGAATTTTAGGATCTGCTCCAAAAGCTGAACTAGAAGAAACTGGCCGTGTGCTGTCTATTGGTGATGGAATTGCCCGTGTCTATGGCCTTAAAAATATCCAGGCTGAAGAGATGGTGGAGTTTTCAAGTGGTCTCAAGGTAACACTGACAGGCTACTGTGTCTTTTTAATCTCTACTGAAACATCTGGAAATCAATGGGGCTGTCAATTTTTGGGGGGAGGGGGGGGGGGTGAGGTTGTGTATATTTCGTGTTGGAATTACATACCTTTTCATGTGCCAGTATCAGAAGGTCCTCACATCACTGTCAGAATGTCAAGAAAATTCATGACGCTTGTCATCAATTTATTGGCCTTAATATCGCAGTTTCAGTATGGTGTTGCCTTTATATGCTGCATGTCTAAATTGTTCTGTGAGAAATACAGTGATGAACATGAGAAGCAATTTTGTGTAAGTAGACTCTTGGGTGCCCAATGAAACTTCTTTGTTGTAGAAAGTTCAGTGGAACTCTGTCATGGTCGTCTTAAATTTTCGCCACTTTCGTGGTGGGAAAAAAAGAAATTAATTTTATTTTATATGAGCACTAATAGATGTAGGTATCTAAATCTGGTTATATAACAAGGTTCCAATTTTGAAACTTTCTTTAAGTCGATTATGATGATATCAGTAGAAAGTTCAGTGGAACTCTGTCATGGTCGTCTTAAATTTTCGCCACTTTCCTGGTGGGAAAAAAAGAAATTAATTTTATTTTATATGAGCACTAATAAATGTAGGTATCTAAATCTGGTTATATAACAAGGTTCCAATTTTGAAACTTTCTTTAAGTCGATTATGATGATATCAGTAGAAAGTTCAGTGGAACTCTGTCATGGTCGTCTTAAATTTTCGCCACTTTCCTGGTGGGAAAAAAAGAAATTAATTTTATTTTATATGAGCACTAATAGATGTAGGTATCTAAATCTGGTTATATAACAAGGTTCCAATTTTGAAACTTTCTTTAAGTCGATTATGATGATATCGTAAAACTGTTTTAATTTATTTTTAGTTAGCTGTGGCAAGTGAATAAGGTCATGTGCTTGTTTGCAGGGTATGGCCCTGAACTTGGAGCCTGATAATGTTGGTGTGGTAGTGTTTGGTAATGACAAGCTTATCAAAGAAGGAGATGTTGTCAAGAGGACAGGAGCCATTGTAGATGTCCCTGTAGGAGAAGGAATGTTGGGAAGAGTGGTAGATGCCTTAGGTAACCCCATCGATGGCAAGGGAACACTGGAAAACACAAAGCGTGCTCGTGTAGGAATCAAGGCTCCTGGTATCATCCCTCGTACATCTGTGAATGAACCTATGTTGACTGGCATCAAGGCTGTGGATAGCTTAGTTCCTATTGGACGAGGACAGCGAGAACTTATCATTGGAGACAGACAGACTGGGTCAGTTCAATTTCTACCTTAAATAGGGTAAATAGGCTAAGCTAGCACAAAAAATGTAAGCTCTGCTAGTGGTCTTAGTGGGGTCAGTTGAAGAAGGTGGGAAGTTGTTGTTTCACGATTGTACATCCTTTACTGCGTAAAGTTCTGTTCCTAATTTACCTGTTTAAATGTAAGTCTGTTGTTTTATGTGCCATTTTTAATTAAATGAACTTTGTTTGATTTTAGTAAAACTGCCATTGCAATTGATACCATCATCAACCAGAAGAAATTTAACGAGGGAACAGATGAAAGTAAGTGATTATTGTATGGCAGAATTCTCACAATTAATATTCAATGGAATGAATGGAAGTTACCAGTAAGAAGCATTCTTATTTTGAGCTGTGAACTGGACATGTTAATAATAATAATGATAATGTTCCCTTCTCTATATTTTTCAGAAAAGAAGCTCTATTGCATTTATGTTGCTATTGGACAAAAGAGGAGTACTGTTGCTCAGCTGGTGAAGAGATTGACAGATGCTGGTAAGGATAAGTCAAGGTTGCCCTTTACAAGAATGAGTGATTCTCTGTCAAGTTTGTACATTTGTATAGGAAAACCTACGTCATAATTTAAAGGGTCTACCTGTAGAAGTGGAGCTTGTTAACATCCTTGAATTGACCAGGACAGCCACGAAAACCTTCATGGCCAGTACTGATAACATTGTCCACCATTTTGCAATAGTTTCATTGGACAGGGTGTTCAACAAATTTGGTTAGATGACAAAAGCTTTGTAGGGCCAATGAAGTTCAGGTTTGCTTGACTGCTGTCAATTTTCTGTGTAGATGCAATGAAGTACACCATTGTGGTGAGTGCCACTGCATCTGATGCTGCCCCTCTGCAGTACTTGGCTCCATACTCTGGCTGTGCCATGGGAGAATTCTTCAGGGACAATGGAAAACATGCTCTGATCATCTATGATGACTTGTCAAAACAGGTATGCTGTAACCTTGGACAGTGTTATAAATACAAATACTTGATGTCATTTCTTTTATGATCGGTCTTTTTATTGCTGATGGACTGCATTGTGGTATTGGACCTGTTGACTATTTTGACAATGTTATCGTAATATTTCTCATCAACTTCAATACTGTATTTACCCGTGTATAATGCGCACCCATGTATAATACACACCCTAGTTTTGACCACTTTAAAAAAAAAATCACAACCAAAACCATGGTTGAATCTTCACAGTTTTTTTTATTGATTTAATCTTAACTCGAACTTGAAATTCACTTAGGCAT